TGTTTTCCATTGTTTCCTCGTTCTTTTTCTTCTATTATTAATCTCTTTTGTAATTTTGGTGCGATTTCTTTCGAGTAGTCAGGATTAAAAGGCGGTAGTTAAGTTGGTAATCCTGGGGTCGTTGATTTGATACCCACCCAGTCAAGCCCGGGTGCGCAATCTCTATGCGTCCTTGGAAAAGCCACTTTGCTTCCATTTCCAAGGCATACTATAGTCCAGGGGTCGGCAACTGTCATGTGTCGAATTTTGAAGACTTAGTGAAACTTTAGGTTAAATAAATTGTGCTTTGAAATTAACAAAGCAAGCCAGAATGGGCTTGAGAAAGTCCAGTGATTATTTTTTATTTCGTCTCTGAACACTAATAGGGGTTACCTTAAGCTTCAGTAGAAACTGACGCGGTCAGTTTTGCTCGTACAGTGACGAGCGCGCGATAGAACTCGGTCGTAACTGTTCAAAAGGGGTTTATGTTAAACAATTGATTTTTCAAAGGAAGCTAATTGCAGCATATTTTAGGCTAGTGAAGTCTGATGTTAGACAGGATTTTTTGAGGAAAATTTTATGAAACGTTATTTCTGATTGGTCGGGGAAATTAAGGGCGTACCCTTTTGGGAAACAATTTAGGACTACATTTTGCCAAAATTCTTTAGTTAGTTTCTCCTTTTAAGAAGGCTAAGGCTGACTCCGGAGAAGCCTAGTGAGTAGTATTTCTTCGTAAAAAGGGAACTCGTGGAGAATGGCTAGACAGCTGTCTTTAAAAGAAGGACAGGCTTTAGGCTAGGAAACTTTGTTTGGAAAGAAACGGTATTAAGAATGCAGCTTCACCCTCTCACAGAGAGAGAGAGAGAGAGAGAGAGAGAGAGAGAGAGAGAGAGAGAGAGAGAGAGAGAGAGAGAGAGAGAGAGAGAGAGAGAGAGAGAGAGAGAGAGAGAGAGAGAGAGAGAGAGATTAGACCACATCTACGAGGCAGGAATAGTCAAGGGTCGAAGAGGACCAAAGTACACATACTAGACGTGTAGATAAGACGAAAAGGGGATGTGCCAGGTGATGCGTGGGAATTGAACTCAAACTCAACACTCGTGATATGATGAAAAGTGGACCGTGACTAAATTCCGTCACTGTAAATCAGTTGGTTAGTAAAGTGAAATTTGGCTGTGCATTAATTACTGGAAAGTTAATTTGGTTATGTATTAATTGAGCACATTTAATTTAGTAAATCTGTTCAATGAAAGTGATTTTCTTTTGATCATATGCTAATTGATTAAAATTTGAATTTCATTTTTTGAAAGGTGGCTCGTTCTTATTTATTTCGATAATCTGCTCAGCTAAATGTAATGTTCCATCTATTCGTCCACACTGGGGAATAACACCGTGGAGATCATTCACTAGCTAACGACGCCTAATTAAGGAGAGTTTTAATGAAATGTTTTAACCCACCCACCCACCCACCCGTTATAACCTATTTTACATGAGTGTGACACTTTCTCCGGATTAATTGCAAAATGAATGAGCGAATGCCATCAGTAAAAGAGTAAATTTGTTAAAATCGAACTATTTGGCTGCCGTTAGCGTGCCGTATTTGTCTGACCACTAAGATAGCCAACAACGTGTTGAAAGTGCAGTTAAAAACAATAAACTAAATAACTTTTGGCAAACTTAATGATATGCTTATGAAGCTTTTCTACAATGGAAAATATTTAAAAGAGAAAGAAATAGACCAATTATTGTAATCAGACTGGTAAAATGTTTATCGGTATCGTTCTATATTCATCCTGCCATCTGCTAGTTCCGGGAATTTCTGTCCGTCTTAGATTTTATTCAACGGTCAATATCCAACACCCATAAGATTAAAGCCAACTCTACCACAGTATATTTTTGTTAAAACTTATAAATATAAAAAGCAGATAATGTAATAACCTTAAGCAAAAGTAATTAGAAAGAGAGTGGAGCTAAAGCTGGTGAAGGTAAAAAGTCCTAAACATCGTGAAAACGAAGGAACTCCAGAAAATTCAGCTAACTGAAATTCCACACAAAGTTGGCCTAATTTTGTAGGACAGAAAGATCTTCGTCGCTGCCTTGGTCTAGAATAAAGTATAATCTCTAAAAAGCATGTCATTTTACCTAGTACCTAAATATTGCCTGTGCCTAGTGCCTAGAGCCTAACTATTGCCTGTGCCTAGCGCCTAACTATTGCCTGTGCCTAGTACCTAAATATTGCCTGTGCCTAGTGCCTAGAGCCTAACTATTGTAATAGACCTAAGGGCTCTAAAGCTTTAATATGATGGATGGGGAGGATGGATTTTTGTGACAACATTAAACATGTTGTTCATGTCAATATATATATATATATATATATATATATATATATATATATATATATATATATATATATATATATATATGTATATATATATATATATATATATATATATATATATATATATATATATATATATATATATATATATATTAAATGTATGTCAAGTGTGATAACCGGTCATGTGGTAACAAATGTCATTGTGTATATGAAAGATTCAATTAATTCTACACTGTTGTGTATATGAAAGATTCTGTTAATCTTAAACTGAGGCATATGAAAAATTTAATAATAATAATAATAATAATAATAATAATAATAATAATAATAATAATAATAATAATTATTATTATTATTATTATTATTATTATTATTATTATTATTATTATTATTATTATTATTATTATTATTATTATTATTATTATAATGGCACATGCTGGATAATGTTTTCACTGAACGTATACAATAAAAGAGAATCTTTAAAACGTTATGTTAGTTGAGTTTGCTTATAACCATTCCACAATGTTATGGATTCCTTATTCTTTAGCATTACATATTTACTGAGTAAAAGACAAAGTTGTCATGGATATAGAAGAAATATGTAAATAATTATTCAATAGTGAAACCTAATTTCAAATTAATTACTATTAAAACTTCTATCTGTTCATTCGATCAGATGATAAAACTTACTTTCTTATTTTAAATGCTAATTACATATTTTTCTTTAATGACACAAAGAATTTTTGCAAGTATAATTCACGATTTGTATTCATTTTAAGAAAGTAACTAGCAGACTAACTACAACACAATATTGACAGATTACTCGAAATTGTCAACTTAAGAATGCTCTATGCGCAAAAGGGTCCCAGTTTTGATGCTTGATTATCCAATCGATTTTCGTTACTGTCAACTAAGTCAACACCTAATTCGAATGGAGTGACACGTTCTATATTGATCCATACAACAAGACCTAGAAATTCAGTATAACAAGTCTCATTAATGTAATTCCCTTGAGATCGACATGATCTAATCTATAAAAATATTTAAAGCTTATAATACAACAAACAACGTGGAATTCAAGGGAATGTCTTAAAATGAAGGATGGTATCCTACGGCTACCGGTTTGTTGTTTTTCTTTTTTTATTTAAAAATTAGTATGTAAAGGGATATGGTACAACACTGAATGCATTTTGAAATTAAAATTAATAATTTCAGCATTTCAAACGCTCAAAACAAATGGCATCTATTGAAGAAATTCAGCACTGAAGGTTTTCTCGTTTCTCCGATATACGATGATTAAGCCGATGATAGTATGAGTAAGCTTTGAAAGGTGAAAAGAAAGGTGATAACTCAATAAATGAAGCATGGCCGTAAACTTTTGTTTAATGTTTTCTTTTCTTTCTTGTATCTTTACAATCAAAAAATATCTGCACAATGTTTGGATAGAAGGATATACATAATTTACTCCTCATTGATTGCCTATATTATCATATTGTAAGAAATTAACAGTAATTAATGCAATTATTTAAAGGTTTTATAAATATTCAATACATAATTCCTAAATAACTGGATATTTATCTATGTCATATTGTCATTTTTATTAGATGAATTTAGAAGAAATTTTGCAAGAGGTGCAGGCTGGATACCACTCTTTTAGACGTCTAGATGATAACATTTGGTGTTGTCAAGACAAAAATGGTCAGATCTTGCACGGATTGTCTAGTCTGGCTCTCAGATTAACTATCAAAGCTTTTGACTTAAAAAGTAAAACTGCTCCGGAGGCCTAGTGGTTAGAGCGTCCGCCTCGGATGCGGGAGGTCGTGTGTTCGATCCCCGGTCGAGTCATACCAAAGACTTACAAAAATTATACTAACAGCTGCCTCGCTTGACGCTCAGCATTAAGAAGTTAGTGTTAGGACTGGTCGGTCTGGTGTCAGGATAATGTGATTGGGTGGGACATCATGCTACTTGTATGCGGCATGATGCCATGGTGCTAAACATCACTATCAGCTGCCACAATGCTGACATCGTAGCGATATGACTGAAAAATTGTTAAAAGCTACGTTAAAATTCATAGACATCAGACACCGACTTAAAAAGGTTGCATGACTATTATAGGTGTCTTTGTAGACCATTGACATTCAATTAAAATGTATTTGGTACATTCATGGAGTCATGGCTATATCTTCTCACTAAATACGTCTTTTTGTCTTATCTTTTTCTGTCCACCTGTTGATACGTCTTGCTAGTGTGTGCAGTTCGTGTGTAACAGGGAGTTATCCCATATTGACTTTATCTTGAATCTGGTTCAGATAAATTTCTTCTTTTTCAGAGGCAGGATATCAATTTCACCGTTATTTGAAATTATTTCTGTAATCACGTTTTCTTTCATTGCATATGTGCTTTGTTTGATAATGTAACGTAACACGCGTAACGTATGCGTTGATTTTGTTTGTTGTCTTGCATTCATCAATTCACTCATTTTTTAAAATCATTCGCTCATCTTCTATTAATTCAGAATTCGTACCTGTTTTAGCTCTAGCAACGCAAACCTTGCTAAAGGGGTACTGTCCTCGCTCAAATCGCACGTGTAATCTTGACCTACACCGCAGTTTGCTGACTGTGTCGTGAAAATGACAATTTTTTTATATCTTTTTACAGAACAGCAAAGTCCTATAACCATTCCGGTGGAATAATTGGTCAGAGCGTCCGCCTCGGAAGCGGGAGGTCGTAGGTTCAAATCCCAGATGAGTCACACCAAAAACTTATCAAAATGGTTCTAACAGCAGCCTTAATAGGCGCTACATGTCTGCAGGATGATGCCCCACAACCAGACATCAACTTAAACTTTCGCACTGCAGAAATCATAACAATATGACTTGAAAATTGTTGTTGTTGTTGTGGAGCTTAACGCCATTTTTCAGCACACGATAGGCTGTACATGGCGGCCAGTATTAATGGTGGAGGAAGAAACCGGGAAATCCCCGGAAATAACCACCTACCCACGAGAAGCTACTAACAAGCTTTCTCACATATCCACATTCACCGAATCTTAGACTCAAACCCACGCAGACAGAGGTAAGATGGCAGTGATCTGTAACGGAGAGCGCTTTAGACCACTCGGCCACTCGCCCCCCCTTGAAAATTGTTAACGCTACGTTAAAAAAATCCAAATCTCTCTCTCTCTCTCTCTCTCTCTCTCTCTCTCTCTCTCTCTCTCTCTCTCTCTCTCTCTCTCTCTCTCTCTTTAGAAAGTGTCCAATTTTTGTATTTTTATAGGTTAGTAAAGTCATATAACAACAATAATTGTTTTCCATCTACTTCATTCCCCAATTTCAAGTGCAATATCACTATTTTTTATGCAAGTCGTAGCTACATTTCGGTACTTTTTATTGTAAAAAGCTAATGCAGTGGCTAACATTTCTTCACAGAAATATACGAATCAATGGAAGTTTATATTTTCAACAAAATAGTTTTTCTGCCTGTTTAAAAGTTGTTTTCCCGTCAATTTTGTGCTACTGTATCGTCCGCTTGAAATTGCTACTTATGGCGCCTAGCATTGAGAGGTTAGTGTTAGAACTGGTAAGGTCTGGTGTTAGGATAATGTGACTGGATGGAAAATCATGCTACATGTCTGCCGCATAATACTCCGGTGCTAGGCATCATTGTAAACTGTCACACTGCAGAAGTCGTAATGATATAACCTAATTAATTGTTAAAGCTGCTTTAAAACTTCAAATCACAAATCACACAAATCTTACGGCAAAACCAATTTGCTATTATTTTAGTGGAAGTTCACATGCTTTAAACCAAACTAGAAATTAAAATAATAATACTGAGGCACGATTCATTTTATCTTTTATTATCTCCATATGTTCTATTAGTACAACGCGTGCTCTCCTCAATCTAAAAATGCCATAATCGTGTACTTTAAAGTCGTTACACATTATATACACTCACGTCCGTTAATTTATGATATAATAATTGGTATGCGAGGACGTTGTGCAGCAATCTTTATGAGCCACACGGGTAAATAATACGGGTTTTCCACTTCTGGAAACATGAAGATAAGAAAAGTTTGTTAGAGTTTTGTATTTCTTTATTAAAACTAAACATATTTTAGTACAGCGTACTTAGAAAAATAAACAGGAAGACAAGGTGCTGAAGGAAATTAGATAACTTCGATGACAGTATAGAACATGCACGGATTACAAATGAAAATTAATGACGAAATTGTAACGGAAAGCTGAGATGCATGGAAGATTTCAAATGCCTTCACGACGAAGACAAAAGGCGTTGTTGTTTGTTTTCGTAAGCATTTGAATTATCAGATACAAGAACAAATATTGTACGCAAATCAAAAGAAAACGTATGTGGACAAGCAAAGTAGAGGTGGTGATTGGTTAAACTAAGTGACGATGATTCCGACGAGCAGCTGAAATCAATTTATTAACGCTCTTCCATTTTGTGGCTTCCTTAAACTCAGTCAAAGAGCGCTCTTTTCTAAAAATCGATTACTACAGATTTTCTTCTTTAGCTTTGCACACATTACTGAATCTAAGAACATGATCAAGTACCCGTCTACAGGAAATACAATTTCTATTTTTAAACGTTCGGTTTACTTCCAATCTATTATTAGAAAATCACGTGATTTATAACAATGTAAAGAAAAACAATATATTAACGTATACTCACCCATAAGTGAGGCTGACAACAGATTTTAGATCCCCCCAAAACGAAAAATATGTACAAAATAAAGTCAAAATCACAACACAGATAAAACCAGCCCATACGTGAACTACCGTATATGCAAGCGTATTATGCGTCGACAGATCTGAACCTGTGCAGTTTGATGAGAGTAATTCAGAAGAACAAATAAGATAAACCCTGGTCTGCAGGCGTATTATGCTGCGTCAGATAAGGATCTTTGTTGTTGGGTGTTTTAAGGGGTTTGGGAAGTTTTGCAGTTTGATTCTACTTAAAGGCAAGTATATAAGGTACTTTGATAAACCAGTAGAGCAGAGGAGCCAAATCGGTCTCTGCAGCAGACAAAACATAGTTCTAGTATTCGTTGAGTTCCACCATTACAGATAATAAAAAGATTTCATCCAAATTTCTCTATGTAATGGATTAGTTCCGGTATAAGGCATTACAGAAGCTTCATGTCTGTATCATACAATATCGATAGAAAAATCATGACAAGATATAAATATAACCTTTAGGTTTTATAATTACCATATTTCAGGCCCGGCCCTAGGATGTGCGGGTCCTTAGCAGCAAAAGATGAACGCTCTCCTCCCCATCCCCCCCCCAAAAGAAGGACTTGCGGAGAAGCGCAGGACCCAAGGCAGTTGTCTCGTTCACCTTGCCCTAGGGCCGGGCCTGCCATAGTTCAGATTATAGACTAGCTTTGACAATTAGTCCAACACAAATGTATACAGTATGTACTATTGGTGTCTTCCGGTAGAAGAACTTTCCACGTACCGAAGGCTGAAATGGCTTATTTCTCCCTGGAAAATAGCTGAAACGCAGACATTGTCATCAAAACATACGGTTGTGGTTGATGTATATCTGACTGATAAACCTATATCACAATATAAATCGAATCAGATATTGGCGTAGACGCATGTATATGTGTTCAGTTTGCGCTTAGGCAGTGGGTACATTTCTACTTGCAGAAAGATTTTTTTCCCATTCGAATTAGAATCTTGTCACATGTTTTTCAAGAATGCCTACTAAAATCGAGTCGCAATGCAATGCAAACTTGCGCCATAATTGAGGTGTGTTTAATACAAGCAGAACTCGCTTATTGGTCTGGTTCCCTGCTTAGTATGCTCCCTGGTTTGCACTCTGCTATACCAGGGAACCAGACTACACGCTTGTCAGCATTTTCGGAAGAATTTAAATTCAGCGTTTATCCTTATCATTTCTTCATTATATTTGTACTGCATGGCTCGATCATTTTGATCGTAGTAGTATATTGACACACATTGACCAGACGTCATTTTAGGAGCATAATCACCAATAAAATCATTCCACTAACGATATTTGCGAGGCTTTTAAAGGGATCCTATGATACTAACTGCGCTGAAAAAGTTTCTAGTACGATATAGCGTTCATATTGGAAATGATAAACGATGTGCAAAACATTAGGGCTCTCAGTTCAGTCGTAACACAACCGTTCTTGATCTTTCAGACCGCCTATTAGACTCATCGTTGCGTAATTCTTGCAGACATAAAGATCAAAAGCACCACAAACAAACATAGAAAACGTTTTATAATGAGTTATAACTACAGAACACGCGCTCTAATATTTGTTGTGACAAGTTACTGGCGCAACTTTCTTACTTAACAAGCTTGTTTACACTACTGTTTCACTTGTAACGAACGAGAGGCTTGATATTCGTTTATTTGCACATCTTACCTTTGCGACAAAAACTGAATGCATAAACTTTCTCACATGATAAAATCTGCTCAAAACTCAACCCAATTTACTTCAAAGAGATAAAACGTAACTCATTTCCAAAAAGCTCTCCAAATTTACCTTGATTATCAACTCTCTTTGGGTTTCACTACACTAATAAGCCAGAAATTCTTTTTTAAAATCCGTTTGTAGACCCTAAGTAAATTGTTATATTTTTCTGATTTTTAATGGAGATTTGCAAACCAGTTTATTAAATGTAACGGAGCTTGCCCGCTAACATTTCTAGCCATTTCAGCCAGAGGAAACTGTTTGTATAATGCAGCATAACATTTGCTGATTTTACATATTGTGTCCAGGTTAGTACATGGCGTAAAAAAGATGGCCGTGGTTCATCTAAACTTATAACTAATCTACTGCAGCTTATAAAATTAGTTCAGTAACGATTTTAAGCGGTCATTAACGATGATTAAAACCAGCAGTAGTTTCCTATATTTGTCGTGGAATTACGCTTGATCCTGATTCCAGTGTCTTCTTTAGAGTCTATAGCGGTGACCAAAATCTAAATGTACTTGTCATCTGCAAATTGAGATCGAAAAGAGAGTTTGTTACTGTTGTTTCCTCATTTTGTGTATTTCAGATACTGAAGATGAATACAATTTTTGTACAATGACTGCGGCATTTATCTTTCAGAAAGAAATTTATAAATATGCATATGTTAGACCATTTTTGTATCAATGTTTATCAATGTTAAATGTGTGTATATATATATATATATATATATATATATATATATATATATATATATATATATATATGTGTGTGTGTGTGTGTGTGTATATATATATATATACACACACACACATATATATATATATATATATATATATATATATATATATATATATATATATATATATATATATATATATATATATATATATATATATATATATATATTTATTTATTTATGTTTTCATTTTTGCAATTTGCATGAGCATTTGCCTAACGTCTTTGTACTAGCTCTCTCTTCTCTTCTTCTGTAGCGGCATTTATCTCTCCTCTTTCTGTAACAGTAAATTTCATTCTTCCTTTGTAGCTGCACTTGTCTCTCTTTCTGCATCTGCAATTCTCTTTCGTCTTCTTTCAGTTGCATTTGTCTCTCTTTCCTATTTCTCAACCTGAAGCTTTCTTTACAATATTTCTATTAGGTGTTTTAATTTCATTTTCAAGACCTTTATGTCTGAGATTAATACGGATTTAACCTACAGCTCTCCTATCCAAAATAAATTCTTTTCAACCAAATATTAGACCTACATATTTTTATTTCTAGC